GATAAAAGGGGGATCAAAATCTCTGTGAGGCATAAAAGTAAAAGGAGGGATTGGCATCTCTGCCAGGCTTTGAAGCAAAAGGAGGACCAACATCTCCATTGGGTTTGAAGCAAAAGGAGGACCAACATCTCTGCCAGGCTTTGAAGATTCAAAACTTTGGTCAACTTTAATGAAATTTTGTCATGAGCCACTTATATGATTTCTCTTCATAAGCCCAATTAGACATCCCATGATCAAAACTAAACCAACAATTCGAAGAATTTCAAATATTTTGATAGAAATACACTCATTGTAATAAAAAATACCACTCATAAAATTATTGCTTCAAATTTGTTAGATATTTTGATTGGTGGGACCCAACATAATATAGAAAATTCATGTGTTCATTTAATGTTATTGTTCCTCAAACAAAAGAAATTGATTCCACTCCTATGACCTTGACATCTACATTGGTCACCACTAAAAACATTGAAGTTAAGGTTTTCATCACTTCTACATCTATTTTGAATAGTGCATGGATAGTTTATTTTGGTGCTACTAATTATATAACATTGGGTGTTAGACAATTCTAAAACGTTGCATTCATTTTACTTCAAATCAAATAAAAAATATATGAATTTAATTTACATATGTTATGTGCCAGTACATTTATGAAATTAGAAAGATAGATAGTTTAACGTCCTACCTTTATATGAAAATCTAACGCACACACACGAATAAGATAGATGAGTGAAAAAATCATAAGAGGTACCAAAATTTTTTATGGAAAACTCTAAAAAGCGGAAAAATCATGATGACACACCCAGTTTAATTGATTGTATGAATGTTTGTTATTGATTACAAATGATGTCCTTCCTCGGGCAAAGGTATTCACATAATATAGTAAATATACATTATACATAGACTATTACAACGTTGGAATTAGAATGGATTATAGTCGGAAGATGCTGGTCAATTTTTGGTGACACATCAACACTCAGTCAAAATAACATCAAAACATTGCAAAAAACTTTTCTAATATACTATGTTCTCTTTGCACTACATTTCCATTACTTTGCTTTTTCTTTTTCAAACCAACAGGCCCTATGTGCATTTTATCCTAAACATCAAACTCATTGAGTTTTTTTTAATGAAGAGGAGAACAATAAAAAATAAAAACTATTATTAAAGAATATTTTATAACCACCCTCATGTTACCTCCAACAGTTTATTATTTAATTATATTCTCCAACCACTGCTGACTTGCTATGAATATTATTTTTATGGTACTTTCAGACCATCAAATTCGCCAACAATTTCATTTAAATAGATAAGAAATTCATACTTTTGGCTATAAAAAGCTTATTTATGGAAGAAATCCATACATCTTTCTTCTTATTATTTTCAATTAAACGAAATACTCATATTTTTCTTCTTTAACAGATTGATTGAAGCTTTAACATCTTTCTTCTTTTGACTTTATTATTTTTTTTTAAATAATTTTTTAATAAACAATTTTAAATTTTTATTACAATTTTATTTAAAAAATAATAAAAAAATCATTCCAAATAAAAATTGAATCCCAAAAAAGGTAATTTAAGTGAAGCTCTAATTTCGTTATTAATTAATTTGTTTTGTACTTAGCGAGAAAAAGGTCTCCTTCAATCTCTTCGTGTCTTCACCTTTTAAGTTGCAAATAATGAACAAAAAGCGCACATGCAT